TATGATACAGAGGAAGGAGCCAGGGTAACTTATTACTTCACCTGGTTGGATGTGGAGGACAATTGATGACAAATATTTAAAGTACATCACAATCATCATTTCAGAAGTGTGCAGCCTTAGTGTCTACTTCTAGGATTCATGCCCAGTAGGTGTTTCTGCAAGCCATCTGGTTTTCTGAACTGTCTGTTCATACAAATTCCCAGGAATATTTTCTCAAACTAATCTCTAGTGGTATTTGTTTTGGTCTTAGTTTCCCACCACTGTACAATGAAAGTAAATGGAATTTCATCAATGAAAATATACATTTCAACAGAGGCTACTCAATTTTTTTTATTTATGTTAACTCCCCATGATAAGGAAAGCTCAACCCATGAAAACAGTTTTATAATATCTGATAGTTTTGGTCAAGTAATGTTGTTTCCACTTGGGCTTAGAGACTACAGGTTTTTAACAAAAACCTTATGTCGGCATGAAGTTAGAAAGGTGAGAGTTGTCTACCAAGCACAACAAAAAAGGTATCGAGTTGCATGATGGAGCCTGACATATGTACAACTAAACACTGGGATATCTCAGCCTCACAAAGGAAATTCCATCTACCTCCATTGTACTGAGGTGGAGGCAGAAATCTTACAGACAAACATCTCAAAACCCAGACTATCTCCATGACGAGATAACATTAGAGGTAAATAAGAGAATATGGTTTTTATCTCTTGGATGAACTGATCTCTTAGCATCAAGCTAAATTGTAACACACACTGCAACACTTTGATCAGGGAAAAACTGCACTATTGTCTCCCGCAATCTTTGGAGTCATATAAACTTACAATGCGTGACACCATCTGGACTTGAGGTTGTGGTTTCAGTTTCAAAAACCTCACCAGTCTTGTATTGGGTTAGTTATAAAAACCATCTGGATAACTGGTTCATTAGACTATTTTTGTTTTCTTCAGATACATTATTCGTTACTGTTTCTCTTTTATTTTAACCCAGCCTGCTAAGCTGTTTTTCTTTCTCTAAGTGCAATAGAATGTATTAATTATTTAGCTACTGTGTGCTGTCGCTGTGAACAATGTGAGAGACTGTGGCACATCCAGAGAAGACTGACATATGACAATATTTTACATTTCGCCCAAGGCCGCAAACTCTCATTGCTGAATCATTTCTGGGGAACAGTTGTGCTCCTTTGAACTGGCAGATGCTGTGACAGGAAACCCTTGTAGATAAAACAAATGTTCTTAAATAATTAATCTGTATTAAAATGAACATATCTTTATTCATGTCTGTGCACAGATATTCTGGAGTGAATAAAAATGACTGCACTGGTCTCAGAAAAGTTTTTGAGTTATGAATCAGTTTCATTCTGCAGCTTAGTTCATGTGAACAGGTCCATCCTACTCAGGTCCATCAGTAGACTCATTCTTGACCCAGAACAGAATGACCAGGCTGAAAGTGTGATGTCTGTTGACCTGGAGAATATAAGGGCTATTAAATGGATGCAGCCGGGGTTTTTCTTCCGGATTCAATCAAACAGGTCGAGTCAACAAATGCAGCAGTTTGAACAGCATGAAAACCCAAAGTTTCTGCCATGTGACATCTACATAGATCAAGACCTGAGCATGATTATAAATAAAAAGATCTTGAGGGAACATGCAGATTATTAGTCTTATTCTGCTTATGAGCTCATCCTTCGTGGGGTCCCACTGGAATGCCATTGGAGTTCACCCAACCACAACATGCTTCGCTTGTGGTTTGTGACATCTCAAGGATATAACTGCCTGGGGTTGAATCAAGTTAACAACACACTGCCTGATTCATAAGAATTGTGTTCATTCAGGGTGTGCTGGAGAAGGGAGCGAGAGGAAGAACAGTGGGCGGAGGGGAGAGGGTCTGGCGTTAACAGGTCGGCTCTGTAGCAAGGGGCAGAAATTCCAGGGCAGACAATAAGTTTTCTTGTTCCAATGAGCTCCTTAATGAAGGGGTGTAGCTGCGTGGGTAAAAGGTGGAGGGCAGGGCTGAGGGAGAGTGCCGACTGACAGACATGGGAGATGGAGAAGCAACTCATTTAAAGACAACCCTACCCTTATCTTCTCCTCATCAGCCCAGCCTGCATCTGTCAGCATCCCCTCTCCCTCCCTGGACCATTTCTCTTCCACTGTTTCTTTCCTTTTTCTTCCTAACAGCAGCAAGAGAATCGTAATAGATACTCAAATAAGCCACAACTTGGAAATTGTTGAAAGAAAATTTAGCAAGACAGTGAGTTTTTTTCCATCATTCTGAGCCTTGAGCCACTTTGTTTTGAATTCATCTCCCCAAAACAAACATTTTCTTAATCATTGTGCATCCAAACGAGTTGAGAGCTTCAGGGCTGAGACACTAAAGGAAACAATTCCAGGAAAAGAAGTGTTTAAGTCAACTGGGCAAATGCCACCAACCTCAACAGCACAACAGCCTCCATCAAGACTAAAAATAAGAGCCGGAAGAGGCTGTGCCACGCCTCAGCAGCAGGCGACTAAATCCGTGTGCCAGGAATATCCCATATGCCATCAGGGGGAGGAGAGATGCCAGGCGAGCCAGGGCCTGAGGACTGGCAGCCGACTCTGGCACAAACACAGGCAGACAGGCACCAGGCAATGAAAGCCTGCACCGCAGTCATCCTCAGTGAAGCACAGCCAGCCTTCTCATCTGCCCGCTTCAATGCCATCAGGTCCAATCAGCCAGCACACCATGGAGTTTATTTTAAAACCAACGGCCTTTTGAAAATGGGTTTGGCAAACCAGAAACCGGAGGCGAGTATATTACAACTGCTTTGGGAATGAGTTACCTGTTGTACTTTCACTGTCTGGACCATCTCATGCAGACGACTATTTCTAACATACCAATGTCCATTTTGCACTTTACAGTGAAATATGAACAACAGACAGCTCTGCATGATCCAAGTGCTAACTCAGTCATCAGTAAATGTCTTTAAACTGGGACACATGGTCATTTTTACCAACTTTTCCAGTTTATGATTGCCTCTGTCTCGTAGTGTGTCCTCTCGCTCACCCTGTACTTTTCTATAGGTAGCCCTGGCTCCATAGTGCTATGTTTCTGATGAGCAGTCACCGACCACATCAACCTGCCCAGTGTTGGTTCGTTTCTCGTGTCCTGATGCTTTTCTTCTCTCTCTCTCTCCTCTATCCACTCACCCCAACCGGTCGAGGCAGAAGGCCGCCCACCAAGATCCGGGGTCTGTCGGAGGTTTCTTCCGTCAGAGGGAGTTTTTCCTCCTTGCTGTCACCAAGTGTTGCTCGAGGGGGATTTGTTTGGTTGTTCAGTGTAATACCTTACTATGTAAAGTGCCTTGAGATGATTGTTGTTGTAAAGTGGCACTATACAAATAAAACCGAATGGAATTGAGGGGCCACCTCACCCAAGTCACAACGACATATTTCCCCACTTAAGCTTGATTTATGGTTCTGCATTGAATCTACGCTGCAGGCATGTCACAGGTAATGTGTAGGTTTAGTTTCATATATCATGGTTTTCATATTCTGAGATTTGTGCCTGCAACCCAGCCAATGAAAACTACATGCATTACTATATACCATAAGAGGTAAGTAAAAATGACTTTGGGGAGTTTTAAAGGAATACCACATTGATGAGAGGACAAAATTTTCTATGAATGGAGCATTTACTGCTCTTGATGACATGTTTTCAAAGAAGATCTTTAGTTGTAGTTCTTCCTGTGGCAGGAGATTTGCACCTGACACCAGGTATAGTTCATCCATGTGACCTAATTATTCAAAAGGATGAAAAAGGATTCTGCTTTTAACAGAAGAGCAGTTTCAACATTTAAATATTTGTATGAGAGCGCTGCACATACTTAACAATCCGGTTTTAATGTAACTCCTCCTCATCTCCAACAGATTGGGGCCAGTAGGTCAACAGTGCTCTCACATCAAGCACAGCATTTTGTGTAAAATGATGAGCTATCAAGGATTCACTGAAGCAAGGAGCAGAAGCCTTAATGTGAACAGTGAAGGGAGTGTTCACCCTGTTCAGGGGTCAGTGCAGCGGAACAGCCCGACACAGAGCCACATCAAAGGTCTGCCACAAATATCGATGGGTTTGCATCGAGGCTGGGAGCTTCACTCTGGCAAGTCATTCATCGAGCATCAGACATGGACGAGGGGAGGAAAGAAACTGAAAATAGGTTGTTGTTTACTCTTCCATATCTTCTCTTTATATTATTACAAAACTTTACACAGACAATTGCTAATCTCCACACTGCAGTGGAACACCGAGGGACAAAACAACAAAAAAATAAAAAGTATTTCTCATTCAAAAGCCTTAAATAATATAAAATACAAACTTTTTTCTTTAGAACAGATACATTCATATGAAATAATATTTTACTACTACAAAAAATAAATAAGTCATTTAAAGAGTTTTTGATCTTTTACGAGAGCCTTCCCTCCAGTGGGATATAGATTGTCTTTGAGCAATGCTCCCTTTTCTCTCTACGATTCTCTCCTTCTGGCTTTGCTCCCAGTCGCTCTTTTCCCCACATCGCTCGTCTCAGCACAGTCCCCCAATAGTGTCCTTGTCCTCATAGCACAGTGTCTCTGACAATCCCATCGCTGTCCTTTCTCTGTGACATTTCCACAACTGCTTCTCTAAACCCTCCACACTGCAGAAGAGTGTTTGTGTGTGGGTTGAACTCAGACCTCCTGTGGGCCGGGCTGGATCAGCTCTCCTGCCAGGCTGCTATTGGAGATCCACCCAGGCTTTTCGTCACAGTCCAAGTCTGGCAGGCCAAGACTCTCCCAGCACACCACAGGCCCCTCTGTGTCCAAGCACTCTAGCTCCTCCTCGGCTGCATGGAGAGAGACAGCAGAGCCTCTGGCTTATACTTCTTATTAAAAAGGACAAGCAGGGATTCTGCAGAGACCCACAGTGCAATTTGTGGTGATGCTGCATAGTTTGCCTGAATACAACATGGGCATTGGTATGGACATGAAAACTGTCAGAGTGCACAATGGTGCTGAACCATGAGTGTCTGGAGGCAAATGTTTTGACTGGAGTCTGAGTCTATTCTCAAGGTTATTAATCTATAACCACACAATGTTTCAATTCAAAAACTATCCAACAAATCATCTGTAACTATATATTTTCTCACACAAATAGGAAGTTCAAATGCATAACTAGGATGAAAAAAAAAGGCAGTGAGAAATTTTCTGTGGCAATTGTAATTCTCTCTTTCACAACATAAGGGCGGATGCAGGCAGAATCTAATGCTGTTTTTATTATTTACTGGTGCTGTGTAGCAGAGAAGAGAGAACAGAAGAGAGAAAAGATAAAGTGGAGAGGAGAAAAAAGGACAAAATCCTTGGAAAGATTTTGTGGGCATTTGATATAAAAGTGTGTCTCACCAGTATTGTCTGCTGGACAGTTTTCATTATTCCCGACCAGACAGCAGGGATGCTGCGAGGGCGAGGATCCCTTGTGCTCGTCTGGCCGGTGCCCTCCATCGGCCTCCTGGTCACCAGAGTGCATCTGGCTGTCAGGGCCGTGGCACTGTGAGGAAACCTGGCCCAGAGGCACCATCTCCAGCCCGTCCTGCTGGCATGGTGCCACATGATGCATTAGAGACAGAGTGCCGCTGGAGAAAGTGCCGTTGGCCTTGTTGTAACATCTGCTCAGAGACCAAGGGAGATGGAAAGAAAAGTGAGATTAGTTTATAAGGTGGCTGTGCAGTGCTGAGTGCTCACCCACTCACAGCTCTCAGCGATGCTTCACGTCGCTCAGGCTCTTCCTCTCTGCAGATAAAGTATCTGTGGGTTTTCCACCAGATACAGAAAACCCTTGCATTAATATTCCTAACAGTGTACAGTATAATGAAAGCTCTAAACAACTGAAGCACACTCTCACAGCTGCAAAAAGCATTTTCAACATTTGAACTAGAGCTTAAAGGTCAATCTCACTACCTCAAAATAATTGTGCCCCATTGTGGTTTTGATCTCAGGTGAAGTTCTCAAACTCATCAAGCTTCACCATGACTCCATGAACCCAGCCTCCCCCTATCAGTACCTGATTGGATGGTGACCACACCCCCTCTTTTTCTAGCAGCCGGAGGTAAATAAACACAGGGCTCATTAAGTCTGCTGGCTGGGTTCACACAGGGTAAACTGTGAAGCAGGAGACTCCTTAGGTACATAAACAGGACTAACAGGAGGACAAGTGTGTGTGAGTGTGTTTGGGGCTGGTACAGGTCACAAAGAAAGTAGGACAGTCTGCTGCGTTTTATGAAATATAAGCAATGTTTAATTTTCTCAGGGCAGTTATTCTCTGTGATATCTGTAACATTCATCCTTTTCAGTTCGGTTCTTTTCAGACATGGGATATGTAACAATGTGTCTGTTAAAGTGACACCTCCATATGCACGACTGTGACGGAGAGAGCTACGGCATGCACGCCATCTAAGTGTGAGATCATCGTAACCTTGTGTGTGCCTACCCATCAATGAGTCTCCATGCAGTTGGGACTTGTGCCACGTTGAAAGTGACATGTAAATGTTACTGGTCCAACCTAGTAAGACTGTGTCGCAACTTTTATGGAAAAGTGAAAAGGGTGCTCATGAAACATGCAGCTGACACATTCAGATGCTGTCAGATTATTAGAAAGGACTGCATGTCTGAAAGGGACTTTTTCCTAATTTTGACCAAAATACAAGCTTTTTAAAAAACAGTTTCACCCTGATTTTGTTCCCACACAACCACAAGCTCTGGTTTGAACATCAAACTACAAATTTAATTTTCTATCTACAACCAATTTTATTTGTCAAAATGATGCCAATAAATTTCCCACTGTCTTAAAAGATTTAAAAAAAAAAAAAGATATCAAACAAAATCTATCATAAATGAAAATATCTTGTCTTACCTGTTGTTGTTGCAGAGGTTCTGACAGCTCATGCAGTCAGAGGACTCTGTTTGGGGAAGAGCTGTGTACATGCCTCCACCCTGACAAGACAACACAAACACTAGATTGAACTAAACTCAACTGAATTTCTACGTGCCAATGTAAAATGCCACAGTTTATTTACTTTATTTCACCTGTCCAGCATGGTTAGTGCTATGAGAAGGCATCCTGTCTCTAGTGCTCCATGGTGGTACTCACGTTAAGGTGGTGGTGAGGGTGTGAGTGCTCGCAGTCCCGCGTGCTGTGGGGCAGGGTGCCATCGTGGCCATGTGGGAGGCCAGGTGAGAACGGGCCACCGGAGCCGTTGAGCAGCGCCAAGCCATTGGTGAGTTTGTGGTGGTGGTGATGGCACCCTTGGGATAACATGGGGCCACCGTGTCCGTAGCCCCCGTGGATGCTCCCATTGATGTGGCTGGTGCCGGGCAGCGTGGTGTACTCCAGAACATGGCCGCTCATCTCCGCTGGCTGGCACAGGTACCCAGGAGGGTCATACTCTACAGCAAAGAGAGAGAGGCAATGGAGGTGATGAAGAGGCAGAACTGTTAAAACAGAGGTAGACACCAGTTTAGTTTTTACTTTTCAAAAATCTGATTATTTTTTAATACAGTACTTTACAAAAATAACAACCAATAAAAAGCAGCTGCTCACTTGTGATGTTGATGAATTCCAGTGAATCATCACAGAATCTAAGCACCTGTGGCTCAATCTTAGCTTTCTCTCCACATCTTAAAGCTACAAAACCCAAACTATTTACTGCTCCAACAGGTCTGGTGAAGAGTCCATCCAGCAATGGCAGCAGTTTTGCTTAAACACTGTGGGATCCATACAACACTTGGAATATGCTGCACAAAGTGTCTTGGGGGCAACTATCTTTAAATACGAAACAGATTCATGGAGTAAACTCTTTGCGGGTCCTACATACTTATTTTAGAAAGAACTATGCTACAAACTGTAACGAGCACAGCATATTGAATATGATGGTTGGTTTTAAAACACATTATCCAAATCTCACAATCACACTTTTTAATAATAGTTTTAGGTTTAATCTATCTAAAACTCACTGTGCATGTTGTTATGTTGGCGATTTCGCCACAGACACATGGCGATAAAAGCAAGCAGGATGAGCACCATCACTCCCAAAACACAGCCTACAATCAGGTACAGCAGTCCTCCAGTAGAGCTGGGCGACTCCTGGGCGTGGGTGCCAGGTGGGGTGACAGGGTGCTGACTGGGCGACCCCGGTGACTGACGTGCTGCAGCAGAAATGGGGGAGGAAGAGGAGGAGATGTGAGGAACAGCTTTTAACCAACCAGCAACAAGGAAACACAGCATAGTACCAAAATACAAGCTACTGTTGTTGGTCCCAGCTCAGTCCATTTATGTTGTGTAATTATGGCAAACATATCCGTCACTGAAGTTGCAGTCTATGCAGAAACATGCCTGGACGTGGACACAGTGGAGGTGTGGTTGAAGTGTGAGTCATCTCCTGTGCAGCACAGTCTGCGTTTTCTTACCTTTGGTCTCGCAGATCATGACGTTGCTGTATTCACTCTCTCCTCCGTCATTAAAGCACTGCATCTTGATATCGTAGGAGGTCTCAGGCTGGAGATGCCCAATCATGTGCCAGTGTTTTACACCTGAGAAGGCAGGAGACACAACGGAGGAAAAGAAAGGAGAAAAAGGTAAGAAACCACTTCCTCTACAAGTCAGTGTTGACTTAAGCTGCCTGTGTAAACAATCAGTATTTCCCTCCTTCTCTTTATGTCTCACACTTTCAGAGGTCATGTTCTTTCATGCTCTCTCTCTCTCATTCAGCCCCCCACCCCCCCCAACTCCTCTCTCTTACTCCGTCAGTCCCACTAGGGCCCAGACAGTTGCTTTACTCTAGACCCAGTATTCCCACTTTACACACACACACACACACACACACACACACACACACTCCATTGCTGCACTACCTCACACAATCACACTACTCTGGAATCACAGATGAGACGACAATCTCCAACATGGAAACGCCACATTTCCAACAAATGAGGCTGAAATAAGCTGCTGATCCTGATGCGTTTTGTTTAATATGAATTACAATAAATCACTCCACGTGTACGACCTCTGCCCCAAGGTAGATTTTAACAGATGAAGCTTAATCTTGCGTCCTAGTTTGTGCTCAGTCACAGATTTGGTCAGAGTGGTTTGTCAGTATGTGAGGTTCTTATACAGCGACTTTGACATTATAATTTCATCTGTAAATGAACAAACAAAAGTATGTACATGGAAAAATGGGTTTATATGTTTGATTTGCAGGCAAAAAAAATATTCAAATTAGTGTCAATTCATATGTTTCTGTAGAAAAATGAGTCGAAAAAATGTCTTGTGTCTGCCACAGTGTCTTTCTGATGCTGGAGATGCCAAAATAAAATAAAAACTTTACAAAGTGGGTTTAACGCTGGGCTTTTCAAAAATGTTTTGAGATGACTAGATTACACATCACTGTTTTGTCAGCAAGGAAATAATTAGATTTTTATTTTCTGCTGCTGCATACTTTGACTTCACAATATTTTAGAGGCAAAAATGCATTTATTGGATAACTTCAGCTACTAGTTACCTTTCAGAATCAAATTAACCACACACAATGTGGTATAATCATAAGAGTCAACTGATCCCTAGTGGGAAATTCACAGGTTACCCGGCAGTAATTTGAATTACAAGACGAGGTATTTTAATTAGCTCTGCCTTTACTAGCTCCATCATTAACGTGATAAAACCAATAGTTCATCAAATAGTGTGATATACATCTCTGTAAAATGTCCCATTGTGCATAATGACTACTTTTACTTGTACTTTAAGTATATTTTGGTGCCAATACTTCTGTACTTTTATTAAGTAACATTTTTAATCTAGCACTTTTACTTTTAACAGAGTATGTTTACAGTGCTGTACTGCTACTTTTACTTGAGTAAACAGTATTTATTAGTACTTCTTTCACAGCTGGTCATTTAAATGCTAAACTGATTCATATAACCTAGACATCTAAAACACTTCCCCATTTTTAAACCAGATGTATTTACACCCTCTCACCTTCAAATCACCACAACAGTACCCTATAGACATTTGTCCCTGATAGAGAAGAGTCCATGGAAAGGAATGCTCAGATAGTAAAGAGTTGGGCAGAGTGAGAGGACGTCCTCCTTCCCTTCGTGTAGCAGGCTTCACTGTTTGCATTCCACCCAACAACCTGAGCCCCTCCCCTCTGTCCTGGCTCATATTTCAGCTCTGACCCCTTTAGTTGGCAACCGTTTATTAAAAGCAGATTTCAGAAAGCCCTGCTCTGCCTGGGGACAGCAATCTCTCCAAATCATACAGCAGGAAAGCCCCTCTTCACTACACCCAACTCCTGACACTGAATATGCTTCCCCCCCCCCGGAATTCCCAGTTTATGTGCACAGCATGAGGGCAGTATGAGGCTGTCAACAAACACCCCAAAATACACAAACATTAAAATCTGCATTTCCCCTTACCTTCGACCACATCCCTTTTGTAGTCGCTGTCATTGTCGCTGTCTGTGGGTCGGTAGTAAATATAGAAACCTTGGATGGGGGTGTTGTTGTTACTTGAGGGACTGTACTGGATAGGGATGGAAAAAGGATTATGTTAGACTAGAGCAATCTGGTGTAATTACTACACAAAGAGGAAATTTTCTAGCAGCTAATTGCGGGCCATGTTATCAGCAGATGTACAAGACTGCAAAGCAAGATTGTAATTGCGCTCTTCGGGAAATAATGAGACTGTCTGAGGGTAAGTAAATGTGGGGAACTATCTGCATCCATCTGCAGCTTAAACTTCAGGGAGGAGGAGAAAGAGCTTTGAAGAGTGCAGAATCAAAACAGTGACAGACGGGGCTCTTAATCTCTGTCAGAGGAGAGCTCTAATCAGCACAGCTACTCAGTTAAAGGTCTGATTGGATCTTTGCTGTTGGGGAGTCACCAGCAGCTCAAGCACAGGTGAGCCAGCTGGATGAGACATTACACCGACCATTTACCAAATCATTCTGCCACTGGCTGACCTGAGGCAGTGGGCAAAAGGTTAGTGAGGTTCTGTACTTAATTCTAAGGTACTTGTACTTTCCACTTCATGCTACTTCCTACTTCTACTCCAGAGCTGCAAACTGGACACTTAATACTGGCTCGAGTCTCCAAAAGGAGGACGTGAGACATAGACTTGATCAACCACTACATTTGAAAGTAAAAGTGACAAATGCACCACAAATTCTGTCAATAATCTCTCACTGCACAGAAAAACTGTGCATGCACAACTACAAGAAGTATGGTGAAATCTGTACAGAGGCAGTTTGGGTTTGCTTTTGTTTTCACTTCTAGATTCAACTGTTTAAAACCTGTGTATATCCTGTTATTGCTCTGTTGAGCTCCTGTTTAGTAATGCTACCTGTGAAAAATTGTTATTAATACTGAAAGGTGGCCAAAAGTGCAAAAGTAAGACCACATACACAGCCACAAAAACCAACTTATCAACTTTATAACATTTTTTCTCCACTTGTCTTATGCATGATGCGCCTCTGTCGTGTACTCACAGTCCAGCGCAGCATGATCTGTGTATCGCTGATGGCATCTGTGGAGGAGATGTGAGGTCCAACCACAGGACGATCTGCCATTCGTGGACTGGCTTGTGGCACCTGGTACGGTTTTGAGGGAACGCTGTGAGGACTCTCGCCGTACATGTTCATGGCTACGACACGAAACTTGTAAGTGGAACCTGAGGAAGGGAAACAATGAGTGTGACAATGATGCTGAGCAGTTAATGAACATTATCATTTGTTGTCTATCAATAAATCCATCTAAGCTGACACCCAACTGTGCTGTCTGACTAATTTTAGCCTTATTACTTAGCTCTAGGTCTGAACTATGTGAAATCTCACCAGGCTCCAGACTGCGAACTTCCACAGACAGTTTGAGTGGAGAAATATTGTCTGCAGCCACAATCCACTCTGCGCTGCGGCCGCGTCTGTACTCGACACGGAAAGCTGCGATGGGAGAGCCACCATTGGCTCTTGGGATCCAGGTGACATACACTGAACTTTCAGTTGCCATGGAGATGGTCGGGCGATCGGGGGCTTCGGGTACTGGGACAAAAATAAAAATGGAATAAACTTTGAGTGGTACAGACTTCTGTGAATCCAATGAAAAACACACAGCACGATAAGAACTAGGAACTCTGTTACCGCTGCATCTAGAATCATGTAAATGTGGAGTGAGAGAAAAAGGAAACGTCATAGTAAAGTGACATGTTGTGGAGTAATGTGTACTTACTGCCTGGGCTCTTAGCCACAGAGAGGGCAGTAGAGAGTAAGAGAGAGAGAGAGAGAGAGACATGAGGGTTAGTGAAAAGGTAATATGAGTTTCAGCAAAGTAGGCCTGCCTGTAACACACACACACACACACACACACACACACACAGAGAGAGATAGCCATGTCCAGTCTCGCTGCTTTCTGCTTACAGCATCCTTCATCCAGAGGGTTATTACAGGGTGTCAACTATAGTTTCACTGTTTGTGCTCAAGGCACAAAGAAACAAAGCAGACCACATTTAAACATTTAGCTCTGAGACCTACTCTACACACTCTGGTCACAAACTCCACTGTAACTATCTACACAACAGAAAGTCCCAGAACGTCATCAGAAACATCCCACGGTCATCATGTGCACACAGTCCTGCAGCTGCAGCAGTCAGTCGTGTCTCCACCTACCTCTGTCATGTATGACGACTCCAAAGTGTGTGTTGGGAGTTTTGTCTTCTGGAGCTTTGGGGGGCATTGAGATGACAGGAGGCTTGGATGGATTCTTGATGGAGGAGGTGCTCTTCTCTGAGAAAGGAAAAAAAAGAGTTGGATGTAAGAGAACCAGGCCGAACAGGTCTTCAGTGCTATCGGTTCCACCAAAAGAACCTGGACTGGCTCTGGATGTTGGCTCTTAAATCTAACATTTCCCCCTGGTTTCCAGAGCTGTTCTGGTTTTATCAGGGAGGGTTTCAGGACACAACATAACAGTGTAGCTGCTTTTCACAAACAGACATATGAAATGTCACAGTGGGTTTATTAAACCGATCTGTAATTAAACCTATAAGAACAATTATTTAGAGATTTTTATATTTAAACAGGTCCATAGCCACCACTGAGGATATGTCATCATTATGTCTGGATATTTTAATGATCTGATAAATCATTTTTATTCTCCAGTTACACACAAAGGATAATTTGTATAATTCTGTACTATACATTTGATTGTTTAGGCAAATAAAGGTTATTTGGATTTAGTATTTCTCCATCCGAATCTCTGGCAAGGTGGAGAAGGTTTTGAAATATGGATTGTGTAACAAGAAACAGAACAAAAGAGTTAAATGAATAAATTCAATTTACATTAAGAAAAATCTGAGGACTTTTATATTTCTTTTAGAGATGGCATTGTTTAGAGCCACATCTGGACTTAAGAGCTTGGTTTTAGACCAGTTGGCAATTTTTGGGTTCAGGACCATTTTGAACCAACAATAATACAGTATCTGTGGTTTGTGGTAGTATTTTACATATTTCTGACTAGGGAACGTTTTGCCAACCCTGCTGTGGTGAAGCATTATTGTCAAGTATTATTTTGGAACATCTGCAGTTCTCATTTTTATTCGTCGTAAAAACACACCAACCTCACTTACAGTCATCATTATGACTATGATACTGACCACTATAATGGCCCCAGTGTTGGGGAGTAACTAAACTAAATTAAAAACGTGCCAGAATGTTTTCTTTTGGCATGTTTCCAGACAATACAGGTCTTTGTTACAAGTAACACCATGGCTAACAAGCAGCTGTCTCTACATCTAGATATGCTCCATTCATTTGCGTGCGTTCATTTTGAATGTTGCTTTTAAATTGGATTAGAAAAAAAACAGTGCTGGAAATTCACAGTATTTTCCTTCTGAAATCAGAAATGGTTTTGCTTGGTGAAGTTCAGTGAGCCGCATGTTTCGACAGTAATACATCAACAGGGTAACTAGTAATCTGTTACCTCTTATATTTCGAAAATAACCTTCCCAACACTGAATGGCTCTAGGTTTGTAGCTGGACAATGTGAGTAGTTATGTCAAGGGATTATACATCTCCTCAGTAGAAGGCAGACAGATTAAATGTTAGTCATCCAGAAGTTATTTAATGATGAAGTGTGGTCATTTTAGATTTTCAAGCTTGTCTCGTCATCTGCTGCTACTTCAAGCATTGACCTTTTTCAGTCCACAGTAGCTGAACTACTTCATTTTGCTTGGACCACTATCGATGGAGAAAGGGATGCATGTCTGTACTTCCGCCCTGATAAATTATTTCCTGAAGTCTGTTGAATGTCAGTGCAAAATGCTGAGTCCAGAAATGACCAGATGCTCTTTAACTCAGAGGAGCTGACACCAAAACCTGACATTTTCTGTTGATGTTTTAAGCAGCTGAAAATGTTCCTCTCTCTTGTAGCTGTGTTGGAAAAAAATGGAGAAAAGCGGGGTCTTCCAGCGGTCCGTTATTCCCAGGAATATGACAAGAAACTCGAAGCAGCCTAATGCACTCAGGAATCGAAGGCACACTGCTACCAGCGGTTACTGTAACTGTGTTGGAGTGTTTTCACGCGTCACTGACCTTTGCCGGTGCGGAAGGTGAGCATGGCTGGCTGGGCCCCCCCCGCCGAACCTC